GGGCACCTGCCGCCCGGGGCTCTGCGGACCCGGCCCTCGAGCGGCGCCTCCCCGAGCTTCAAGTCGGACCCGGCGGCCGACGCGCGGGCTCCGGGAGGCCGACGCCCCTCCGCGGCTCCGTCCCGCAGGCCCGAGGACGCCCCCCCCGCCGCCCGGAGCCCTGAGCCTGCAGAGCCGCAGGTGCGCCCGCGCCCACGGGACGCCCCACCCCACCGGCACTTCCGCGCGGCCTGTGGCGCCCGAGAGCCCGAGCGCGGCTGCGCATGCCCGGAGCTGTCCGAGATGCAGGGTGGCCCGCGGCCGTGGAGCCTCTGAGAAATGGTCGGGGACACGGAGACCCGGAGCGAATGGGCAAGGGGACCGGGCGGGCAGGGCCCTGAAGGCTGCAGGAAGGAGGCAAGCAGGGGCCCCAGCGGGCGTCTGGCTCTAGAAGGGCCCCCCCCCCCCCCCCCCCCGTCTGTGGCTGGGAAGGAGCCCCGGTGGTTGCAGTGCTCTGGGGGGAGGGCGGGGGCCGCGCATCCTGCAGCCGAGCGGCGGGTGTGGGGGTGGGGTGGGGGTGGGGGCGCATCGCCGTCCACCGCTGCGGCCTGCTAAAGATGCTGAGTGCTTGGGAAGTGAGCCTCGGCTGCAACAGCTGGACGTAAACACAGCCTCTGGCCCAAGCCCAGCTGAGCGTCCAGCAGTTCCAGGGCCTGGCCCCGTGGTATCCGGGCTCCTGTGGAGGTGCTCCTCCTTTCAGGGCGGGTGAGACCAGAGGTCCCCAGACCTGGAACGCCGTTGCTGTCACTGGGGGGTGTTGTAAGTAAACCCAGATTCCCCACTTGACCTGGGCCTGTCCCCCCACCCCCACCCCCTGGCATCTAGCAGGCCCTCCAGGTGAGGTAACCGTGTGGCACCTCAGTGGGTGCTCACATCCCTGAAAAAAAATCCTAGAAAATGCAAGCCAAGGGGCCTTATGGGAGGCCAGTGCCTCATGAGAATTCCTTGAGCTCAGGATGAGATCTCCAAAGCCAAGATAGGGGGTGCGTGGGGCTGCTCCAAGGAAGAGGCCCAGCCTGGGCAAAAGGGCGGGCAGGCTGCAAAAGGCGGTTGGACATGTACCCAGGGTGTGAAAAGACTGTAGACAAGCCTCCCTCTCTCGGGCTGGTTGGTGGGGCCTGTCGCAGTGGCCCGACAGCTCTCTGCTTCCTGGAACCGAAGGTAGCTGCACTGGGCATGGGAATGAGCCCTTTGGGGTCTCCGCTCTCGTTCATGAGTGTCCCCAGTGGGCTCCCAGCATCCAATGTACAACAGACAGGCCAAGTGTGGCGATCTCTGCGGTCCTGTCAACCCGCAGTGCGTGCCCACCATGCCTCAGAAATCACCCAGTCTCCACGGAACACGCGCCTTTCTAGACCACCACCTGATGCAGCGCTCCGGCCTGCAGGCTTTTCTCCCGCGGGCTCACTTTGGAAGGAGCACTCTGGGCATGGCGTTGGCATGACCACGAGGGAAGGAGAGCTTCACCCGCAGCTGCTTCCCTGCAGAAGGTGCCGCTGTTTCGGGGCAAGAGAGCTCTGCCTGAAGGCGTTGCTGTGGCCCCCGCACTGTGGCGGGGGGGGGGCGCGTCCTCCCGGTGACACTTAGATGCTAAAGCTGCTCAGTGACGGTTCTGTCCTGCATGGTGGCAGTGACGAGGTTCCCTCCAGCGCAGCCTATCAGTGCCTGTGCAGCCGCGCACCTGCACGCTCCCCGCGCCCGGCTCCGCTGCGAGCCAGCCCCCTTTCGAACAAGCACAGCATTCACAGGGTCTCTGTCCACGTGAACCCTGGGCCCCCGCAGCCTGAGCCCCACCAGAGGCTCCGCCAGGGCCTCGTCACTCACTGGTTTCTTTCCAGTGTGGTGGATTTTCTGATGTGGAGCCGGAGCGCGCTGGACCCCTGGCACGTCCGTGACGTCGGTGAGGCCCTCGCCCCCCGACTCTCCAGGGCGGCGCTGCAGCTGCTGGCTGACTAAGGCTCGTCCCCCTAGGCGGCGGGCGCAGGGCTCCTCGGTGCCCAGAGGTCTCTGGAGCCGCCCAGCCGCCCAGCGGCCCGTGCCCCCGCGGTCACCACGGCCGCCTGGCCTGTCGAGCGCACCTGGGTCTCCAGCTCCACCGGCCGCCCGGCCGCCGCGGCGCCCCGTGTGGTGTCCCCGGGCCTTCGGGGCCGCGCGCTGGCTGCAGGCGGGCCCGGTCTCCTGCGTCGCCCGCGGCCGCCCCACCCGCGCAGTGACCGCGCTGTGCCTGCAGCACGCACCGCCGGGGTCGCTCAGATGCAGCGGGCGCCCGGCCTGGGATGTTGTCGCTCAGCGTCCCCCCGCGCCCTCCGCGGCCCGGGCCGCCCGCCAGGCGAGGATCCGCCGCTGGGGGCGCCAGAGGGGCGGGCGGCGGGGGGGTGGGGAGGGGAGGGGCCGCACTCCCGCCGCCGCACTTCCGGCCGCCTCGCCGCTTCCGGGTCGCTGGCGGCTGGACCGCGCTCCTCCCCGCTCGGGCGGTGCCCTCCGCACTTGCGGACCAGGATGCGGCCTCTCCGCCGTCGCAGCTAGTACAGTCGCGCCCCGGAGACCCGGCCCCGGCCTCACCCCTCCGCGGGGTCAGGGTCCAACCGGCCCTTCCCGCCCCGGACTCACCCCTCCGCGGGGTCAGGGTCCAGCCGGCACTCCCTGGCCCCGGCCTCACTCCTCCGGGGGTCAGGGTCCAGCTCAGACCCCACTCAGACATTCCCCCACAGGGATCTCTGGGAAGGGCAGCGTGCCTGGTTCCCACGGCTTGGGAAAACCCTGCCAGACCTGTTTAGCGTAGAGCCTGGGGCGTAACACTTAAAGCTGGGAATCCGAGCACTGATGGCCTGGGTGACCCCTAGTGAGTGCTCGAGGTGCAGCAGAGGCACAGAGCACCAGCCCGGGGGCCCTGAGGCCCGCGTTGGGTGAGACCTGCTGTGGGGACGCCCACCCCAGGGCGGGTGCTCAGGAAGGGCTTACTGAGCGGGTGAGCCAGGAATGCGTAGACCTAATACACGATATTGGGAAAGGATGTGATTCCAGGTGGGAGGCCGTGCACGCTAGGAGCTCCTGCTGTTACCTCGACTGGCCTGTGCTCTGCTGCTTCACCTAATCCCATGGAGCGCTCACACAAACGTGAGGTGGAGAATCATGCCCAGACCAGCGCGGTGCGCAGGGTGTGTACCCTGCCCGCGATGGCACGGAGGCGAGCGGCAGGGCGGGGCCACCACGCAGCTTGCATGTTCGTAGGGCCAGAGCTCCCGCCTGCCTGGGTCACAGCACACAGCAGGTGATCCCGTGCGCCTGGCGCCAGTTTCCACTTCTGTGCTCGCGCTCATCAATCAGGGTCCCAAGGACAAATCCTGGGGGAGCCCAGTGTGGAAATCAACTGAAGACCGGCGTCTGGAGGACACTTGGTTCAATCCACGGATCCCAGCCAGCCCACCTGGCAGGTGGGGTGACGGGAAGTCGGGCTGCGCAGCAGTCAGTAAGCCCAGCTCCCCGGTCACAGCCCCTGGCCCAGGGGTGGATGGTGGAACCCGTGCCCCTCTCATGGCTGAACTAGAAGGACGTGCATCTGGGGCTGTGTCACGGTGTGAGGGCACACCTGTAGCAGGAGGAACTAGGCCAACACTGCGGCCTCAGTAGAATTCTCATCCGTACTTGTGGAGGTGAATATTATGTGCCCACTTGAATGAGCCCTGGGGTGCTTAGATATCTGGCCAAACCGTTCTGGGTGGGACGCCCGGGTGGCTCAGCAGTTGGGTGCCTGCCTTCGGCTCACCGCGTGACCCCGGGATCCCAGATCGAGTCCCACGTCGGGCTCCCTGTGTGGAGCCTGCTTCTCCCTCTGCCTGTGTCTTTGCCTCTCTCTCTCATGAATAAGTAAATAAAATCTTAAAAAAACAAACAAACAAACAAAAAACCAAACCATTCTGGGTATGTCTGTGAAGCTGTTCCTGGATGAGATTAACATTTCTGTGAGTAGACTGAAACAGGCCGCTCTGTCCTATGTGGGTGGGCCCCACGCAATCAGTTGAAGGGCTGAATAGCATAAAAGGTCCCCTCCTACCCATGCAGGCCCTGCCCCGCCCCATCCTTCTAGACAGGTGCGCAGGGCACAGGCATCTGTGGAACAGTCTAGGGCCATGTGGAGGACCTCCAGGCCCTGCTCTGGGTGGCCGCCCACCAGGTCGGGTGGTGGTGCTGGCATCCACGTGTAGCCAGGCTCCTGGGCTCCCTGTGAAGCCCAGCGGCTGGGGGAGCAGCTATGGGGCAGAAGGAGCCAGAAGGCGGCTTTTCCTCCTCTTTCAGGCCACAGTGCACCAACAAAGCACCTGAGCAGCTGCCTTGAGCCCCGGAACTGATGTCCAGAGACTGCCTGATGTCTGCTCCTGTCCCCCACAGCTGCTCCCACCGTGAGTGGGGGCGCACGGTGGGGGTGTGGCCCAGAGAGGTGGGCAGACCAACCGCGGAGCCCTGGGGACGGAGTCCCAGCCCGAAGTCTTGAGAACTGGGGAGGGGAGGCTCGGAGTTGCGGCTGCAGGAGCTGGGCAGCTCATCAATGTGGGCGCGGGTGGGGTCCCACAGTGTTCAGGAGGGGCCAGGTGGGGCGGGAAGGCACAGGCTCCCCCACCCAGCCAGGCCTGCACTGTGTCGGGCTGACGTCCCAGAGCTCAGGGAAGATCTACGGCTGAGGCTGAGGCCTGGCTGCAGCCGCCTGCACCTGTCCAGAGGGACGCCCGGAGCGTTCCCAGGGGCTGGAAGCAGCTGCCAAGCCTGGGCCACTCCTCACGTGGCTTGGGTAGTGGAGGGGCACCTTGCCTCGGGCAGCCGCCACCTGACCCCACCTGCCCTCCTCGCTCTCTGCATGGGGAAACACCTGGCTGTGCGTCCAGGGGAGTCAGTGGGGCTCCAGGCCTCAGCCGGGTCAGTGAGGACCCAAGATCGGCCGCTCCTCTGCAGAGACAGGCAGGGGCGACCCCTATTTCCATCCATGAAAAAGCATTTATTTGAGCGGGGGGCGCGGGGCTGGCGGCGCGGAGGGGCTGGGGGAGGCGGGGGCCCGCCGCCTGCTACTCCCGGTAGTGGACCCTCTGGTGCTGGATGAGCTGCGAGCTCTGGCCGAAGGCCTTGCCGCAGGCGCCGCAGGCGAAGGGCTTCTCGCCCGTGTGCGTCCGCAGGTGCCGAAAGAAGTGCGAGCGGCCGCGGAAGGCCTTGCCGCAGTCGCCACACTCGTAGGGCTTCTCCCCGGTGTGGATGCGTTGGTGCTCGATGAGCACGGAGCTCCAGATGAAGGCCTTGCCGCACTGGCTGCAGGCGTACGGCTTCTCGCCCGTGTGCAGCCGCTGGTGCCGCACCAGGTTGGAGCTCTGGCTGAAGGCCTGGCCGCACTCGCCGCACTTGTAGGGCTTCTCGCCGTTGTGGATGCGCAGGTGCTGCGTGAAGTGCGAGCTGTGGCTGAAGGCGCGGCCGCACTGGCCGCACTCGTACGGCTTCTCGCCCGTGTGGATGCGGTGGTGCTGGATGAAGCCCGACCAGCCGCGGAAGCGCTTCCCGCACTCGTGGCACGCGTACGGCTTCTCGCCTGTGTGGATGCGCTGGTGCTTGAGCAGCAGCGACTTGTACTTGAAGCTCTTGCCGCAGGCCTCGCAGCGGTGCGGCTTCCCGCCCCACGGGCCCCCCTGCCGTGCCCCGGGCCCCGAGTCCCGGCCGCCCCCCGGCTCCGGGGCCCGCGCGGGCTCCCCCGCCACCCCGGAGGCGCGCAGCGTCGTGCGCCAGGGGCCCGGAGGCTGGTGGCCTGCGGGCCGCTCCAGGCTGGCCTCCTGCCCAAAGCGGTCCCCACACTTGGGTCCACAGGGCAGGCTCCTCAGAAGGGTCCTCAGGGCCCCTCCGGCCTGGTCCACCTCGTCCTCGGGGCGGGGAGACGACGCGGCCTGCGCGGGTTCTGCCTCCGAGTCTGAAACGACACACGGAGGGGCGGGTGGATCCCCGGCGTTGGCCTCTCCTCTGCCGCGGGGTGCTGGGACCAGCGGGGAGCGCAGACCTAGGTGGGCAAGGCCCCCACCGACCTGGACCCAGAGGGAGGCAGCAAAGCCCTCTGCTCCCATAGGTGCCGCCCAGGCTCCTGGCAGGGACGTGGGGTGGGTCACCCCTCTCCTGAGGCTCAGCAGCCTGGGCCGCCACAGGGCACTTCCAGGAACTAAGTCTAGGTGGCAATTGTCTCCCGGGCCACCCCCCCTGCCCCCCTGCCCCTCACCTCCAGACACCAGCAGGGTCTGCTTCCAGGGCCCTGACCTGACACCTCTAGGATCTCCCGGGAAGGGGGAGCAGAGCCCAAGGGCTTCCCTGGGTGGGGGTGCGGCAAGGGGCTGTGGGGAGAAGGGGACGCAGACCAGAGCCTAACTTAGGGGTCTAGTGCAGGTGGAGGGCTCGGCCGGGGGGAAGGGCCCGGGCCTCGGGGGCTGCCGACGGGCTACAGCTCGGGCTCAGCGGCAGACCGCGACTGAACAGGGCAGAGGCCCTCGGGGACAGAGCGAGACACTGTCCTGGTGACGACGGTGCCCAGCACCCAGGATGCTGCATGGAGCCTGACATGTGGCAGCACAGGTAGGTCCACCTAGGCAGGGACGAGGAGGACTCTCCACTCACTCACCTGGCCAGCAGGTATCTCTGCCAATCTGGACCTCCTCCACATCTTGGAGATCCAGGTCGGACAGCTCCTCCTCCTGCAGTGGCTGGGAGGGCACCTCAGGGCTGCAGCCAGGGGAGTCTGGGGGCACAGGGGACGGGGGCTCATCTCCCCCTCCTCCCATTCTAGCCCGGGCCTCGTTCAGCTGCCTGTAGAACGCCACCTGCTCCTCACGCCACGCACCTCCTCGCCCTCCTGCTGGTCCCGTGTGTCCCAAGGGCCCAAGGGTCGAGGCACTTGGGAGATGGGGGTGCAGCCATGGGACAGCCTTCCCTGAGAGGCCCCAGGGCACCGCTTGGCTGCTCTGGACTGAGGGTGGGGGTGTGTCCCAGCAAGAGCCACCTGAGACTTCCAAACGCTCCCAGCACCTCCCCAGGGTCGTGCAGTCCCGGGAACGTGGGCTTTCTGGCTGCGACCTCCACACTTTCCCCTCCCTGGCCCCCCCATCGGTTGCCACCATCTCTGAAAGCCCTGGGGACTGGCTGGGCTGTGTCCCATGGCTGCTCTTGGGGCATCATCCTGAAGTACCCGCCCACTGTGTCCCCCAACCTTGGGCACCTCCAGGGAGGCTGGGACGCAGCACGGGATAGGCTTGCCGTGCCTCAGGGAAGGCCCCCTGCCTGGGCCGCTCCTGGACACCACGCTGCTGGGGCGGGCCCTCCAGGGGGTGTTGATCTGGGGCCATGAGGGGTGGGGGGTTACTTTTCTGGCTGGAAGGGGTGCTCCTTGTAGGTGAAATGGCAGAAAAAGTGTGTGCTTGGACATGGACACAGGGGATGGTCAAAGTTCAGCTCTCAGGTGCCAAGGCCAGGCATGCAGCTCCTCCCCACCCCAGGGGCTACATGTCCTTCTCTGTCGTTGCTCCTGCCCAGACTGCCCTTCCTGCTGCAGGGTTCCAGACCATACCTTCCAGAACTTGCTCTGGAAGCACAGGCTCCGGTGGACACAGCAGTGCGCCAGGCCCCTCAGCCAGCCCAGCACAGCCCTGGCTCCCAAAGTGTCTGTCCTGTTACACAGCCCACCTGCCTAACTCCCTCCCTGCTCTGGAGGCCCGGGGAGGGGTAGCCTTGAGCTCTTTGCTGGGTCACCTCACCCGCTCCATGCCTGCCCCACCCCCAGGGCCCAGGCCAAGTGCCCTGGGCTGCTCCCCTCAACTGCTAGAGCCAACATAGGGCTCCCCGCTCCAGGATGCCCTCTGCCCCCGACGCCCTCCAGCATTGTGCCCAGCTAGAGATTTAGAAACTGGCTGTCGTTTGAGGTGGATGTGGAGATGATGGGACCCTGCCCAGGGAGGGACCCCAGGCTTCACAGGGCAGAACCCCACCTCACCCACTCTGGTCTGGGAGCCGGAGGCTGGGGCTCCAGGGGGCCTGGCCTCACCAGCTGGAGGGCCTGGGGCAGGTTCCTGAGATGCTGGGGTCTTTCCTCTGAGGGGGTCTGTGGACCCGAGCACCAAGGAACCCACCAGTGGAGGAAACGAGGTCCAGAGGCAGCGAGGGGTAGCCTCTGTCCTGGAGAAGGGCTTGGTCCTGGGGCCCAGCTCTCCACGCTGGGCTGGTCTCCACGAGGACCGGATGAAGGCACCCGCCACTCCTCCCTCTGGCCCTCCTGCAGAGCCTGCTGGAGGCCCCACGGTCTATTCCTCAGGGTCCATCCTGGTTTTCCTTGCAGATGCACCCCCCTCCCCCCTTTTCTGATCAGCACAAGGGGTGCTGAAGCTGCTGGCTGCAGCCCCCACTCCCTCTCACTGGGCAGGGCCCCTGGGCACTTGAGGGCACTTGGCTGTGACCCAAGGACAAAGCCTGGCCGTCCAGGCTCTTGCTGGATGAGAGGCAGCCCCAGTCTGCACTGGGTGAGGACCTGCATCCCGGGCACCAGTCTTCTTCTCCAGCAGAACTGGCCGGGTCAGCGGGTCTTCCAGACCAGCCCCTCCCCGCTCCTATGTTTGCTGGGTGCACGGGGGGGGGGGGGGGGGGGGGGGTTCAGGAGCCAGACTGATGTGTTCTGAATCCCACTGGTGTCCACAGGCTCCTGTCTGGGCTTCCATGTCCCTGTCAGGAACATGGGAACAGGAGATCCTGCCTTGCCAGGCTGCTGTGAGGGGCGGCATGAGAACCCGGAGGTGAAGAGTAGGCCCCGGAATCCTGACTGCGTGGGGACGGAGGGCACAGCCTTGGGGGGAGCCCTGGGCAAAGCCCTGAAACCACCCTGCAGGGAGAGGCCTCTGTGCCAGCGAAGGCCTGCAAAGCATGTGCTCTGGGCAGTGCCCAGCTCCATGCCCACCCCACATCCCCAGTGTGGCCCACCACGGGGCCGGGCAGGAGGCCGGGAGCTGCTCCTGTTCCGATCCTGGACTGAGCCATGTGCTACCTGTGAGCCTCACCGCCCTCATCTGTTAATGCCCTGACAGGGTGGTCACTGGGCTTCAGGATAACCTGCGCAGAGCCCTCGGCACAGAATCCTTGGCACAGAGCTGGCACATCTCAGCTGTTATCACATCACTGTATCACGCCGGCACTCACCAAGGGTGAGAACCCCGCACGCAGAGCGAGCCCCACCCCCTGGGCTAGCTCTTTAGAACGCCCAGACCCTTGACCTGCTGTCACTGGCTCATCTGTGTCGTCAGCTGTGAGGAGTGAGGCCTGGGCTCCTGTGGCACGTGCGGCACGGTTAGAGCCCTGGGACTTCCTGATGGCTGATGTGAGCAAGACCCACGGGCATCAACCAGGCACTGGCTACTTCCATGCTTTTGACATCCTGAGACCCTGTCAGGAGAGTGGGACAGGCTGGCAGCCCCACCCCTGCAGATCCCTGGTGGCCCCAATCCAGACCAGACAGCCCAGAACTCTGGATGCTATTTTCTGGGGTGGGGGCAAAGGCTCGCAGAGGGAGATGGGAGGACACAGGGCCCTGCACGGAGGCTGCTCTTCCCTGAACCCCAAACAGAGCCTCGGGGGACCACGGGGAGCCATTGCTCACAAGGCTCGGTCTGCAGCCTCAATCACTGCTGCCCGCGGCCCCACCCCAGTGCAGGGGTGCAGGAACCCCAGGGGCCAGCGAGCTGCCTCGAATCCAGCCTGCAGTGCCAGTGGTGGGCGGCGGCGGAGGGAGCGCAGCGCAGGGTGAGTACCGTGTTGACGACTGTGCAGGTGAAGCCGAGCCTCGCCGTGGTGGGGTCCAGGTGTCCCTGGTGATGCAAGATTGACAGGGGACGGGACACGGGGGGGCTCCTGACCGTCCCCCAGGGTCGCCATCTTCCCTGGGGCCTGCTGAAGGTGTGCACACCTGGGACCTGGGGAAACGAAAACCATGGCAGGGTGAGGGGGGCCAGGGCAAGGCCAGCTGCCCATCAGCCCCGGGGGAGCGGGGAGAGGGCCAAGGATGCCAGGGTGCCGTGTGGGACCTGGGGTGGCAGCCAGGCCACATGGGCGGCACCAGCGCCGCTGCAGGGCCAGGCCAGGCCCCGTGGGAGCGGCGCAGGGGCCCTGGAGGGCCGGGAGGTGCGGGGCGCGGGGCTCCCGGCAGCAACGCCGACGGAGCGCTGCGGGGGGGCAGCGCCTCTCTGACCCCGCGCCGCGGGCCCCGGTGCCCCGAGCCGCCCGGTCCCCTGCTCCAGCTCGGTCGCAACAGTGGTCCGGTCCGACGTGACAAGGGTTTTCCCTGGCGCTGTGGTGCCGCGGGGCTCCCCGTGGGGCGGAGAAGGACGCCGCGGGCAAGCTGCACCCGCCTCGGGGGGCGGGGGGCGGTCCCGGCCACCCGGAGGGCACCGGCGCCGCAGGGACGGACTCAGGGCGCCGGCCGGCCCCGCACACGGACCCCGCCGCGGCCCGCCCCACGGAGACCTCCTCTGCGCCCCGGGGCGCCCACCCGCGACCCCCGGCCGGGCCCGGGCCGAGGTCGCGGCGGCGCGGGGGTGAGGCGGCGGCCGCGGCGGGGCCGGGGGGACGACGCGCGAGCGCGGGCGGGCTGAACGTCCCCGCCGCCGCCGCCCGGCGCCCACTCACCTTCCGAGCGGGAGGCGGCCGCCCGCGCGCCGGCCGGAAGTGCGCCCGCGCCCCGCCCCCCGCACGCACTTCCGGGACGCTCTGGGCGCCGGAGGACCCCGCCTCGGTGGCGCGGGGGGGGCGGGGCCCGACGGGGCCCGACGGGCGCGCCCAGCCCCCGGCCGGCGGCTGCGGGCTCCACGGCCAAGCGCCCCAGGGCAGCGGCCTCGGTGCCGCCCTTCTCCCCTCGCGGGGTTGCTGCCGCCGGCCGGCAGTCGCTGGCGAGCTTGCGGAGAACGAAGTCTTCCTTTCGGGGGGCCCCAAACACCCCTCCCGGCGGCCCCCCGAGTTCCCGAGGCGTGGCCGGCCGAACATCCCCGAGCCCGCTTGGGGTCCCCCGGAGCCGGAGTCTCCCCGCCGGCCTGTTCTGACGACCCTGAGCCCTGAGCCCGGCCGGCGGGCAGCACAGGGCAGCCAGGGCCGTGGGGCGCGGGGCGGGGCCAGGCGGGAGAGAAGCTGGGTGGGGGGCGAGGAGGGCCCGGTGACCGCGGGCAGGCGCCGCCGCCGCCGCCGCCTCCGCCTCCGCCTCCGCGGGTGGGACGCGGCCGAAGCCCGGGGCGGCGGCTTCCCCCGGGGCAGCCCCGCGCCCGCCAGACCGCGCTGCTCCCCTCCGCCGACCTAATGCCCGGCCCAGGCCAGCAGCCGGGGTGCCGCTGGGAGCAGGGCAGGTCCCCGCCGCTGTGGAGCCCACATTCCTAGTGTGCGGGAGAAAGCACACAACAAACGGGAACACGGCCGCACCCACGCCGGCGTAAGCGCTCCAAGGAAGCACACAGGGAAGCGCTTAGTGGTCCCACGAGGGCTCCCTAAGCAAGCGACACCAGAGGAGACGGAGGAGAGTAGGGCAAGCTAGTCGCTAGAGGGAGGAGATTCAAAGCAGAAGGAAGAGCATGTGCCAAGGTCCTGAGGTATGAGTGTCCCCAAGGGTCTGGAGGAGACCAGGCAAGCGGGGGGTGTGGTGAGGGAAGGAGAATGGGACAAGGGGGGCAAGCTGTCTTGAAGCCGTGATTAGGAGCCCGGATTTGATCTGCACCAGGAGCCACTGAGGGTCCTGAGCAGGGGAGTGACGCCTGATGCACATTTTAAGATCTGTTTAGGGAGGCAGGAGGAGGCAGGTGGTTTAGAGTGTGGGCTGGGTAGGGCCCATGCTGGGAACCAACTGACACTACCTGCTGTTTGCTGGGATGTGGGGCACGACAACATGGCGTTCGGGCTGGAGTATGGCGGCTGGCCCACTTTCTGGGAGGGGGCAATGGCCACAGCCGAGTTCTGTTCTGGATACATGGCCCCAGACGCACAGAGGTGGCTGGGGCTCGCCTCTCCCACCCCCTCCTCAGTCTCCCCTCACCCACTCCCGTGTGGCCCTTCAGCGATGCCTTGGAGGCTCGGCTCCCACTCTTCAGCCTCAACAAGCCTACTGTCAAGTGTCTGGGTCTCTGCAAAAAGCTGCCTGGCCCCTGGTTTTGCCACCCAAAGCCCTGGCCCAGGGCACCACTCCTCTGTCAGCCCTCAGGCATCTCCCCATCACCTGACTGTGTGGGGGACCTTGCCGTCCCATCCTTGGCCTGGTCCTTGCCCCCAGGCATACTGTGCTCTGCAGGGTCTGGTGGCCCCTCCCCTCAGCGGAGACAACCAAGAATGTCTCCAGGTATTCCCGCTGCGTACCCTTCTGGGGGGCAGGGCTGCCCTCAAGAAGACAGCTCTTTCTTGGAAGGCAAACGAGCAAGGGTATGGGACGGGGGCACTCAGTGCTTGCAGGGCATCATCCCAGGGTCTCACAAGGTCGGGGTCTTCCAGACCCCCTCCAGGGTTATGACCGCAGGCATCAGGCAACCAAGGAACCTCTAGTCCCCCAGAACCTGGGGCCGGGACAGCTGTGTCTACAGAGGGACACAGTATTTTGTCCCACAGGGGGTCACTCTCATCCTAAGTCAGTGGATTCCTTCTCCAATTATGTCAGTCTCTTACAAGTTTGGTTACCGTGAGGCAGTGGCCAGTTGGGTGTCTGGCTCTGCAGGCCTGAGGCCAGACCCAGCACCTCCCTGGGGAGTCCTGACTGCACCCCCAAACTGCAGGGAGATGAATGGACCCAGTGAACAGAGCAGAAGTTTATTACAGAAGAAAACCTTATCCACAAGTAGCAGCACAAGGACACATTCTGGGACGAGTGCTGGGGAGGCAGCCAGAAAGGAACCAGTGCAACACTCACTTGGATTAAGAAAGCACCACGTGAAAGGTGAACCACAGAAACCACAGAACGAGGACAACACGTCCCCCAGACGTGCAACATACTCGCTTTCTGAAGACTGAAGAAGTGAAGAGATTATAACGTCAAAGTTCATCTGACATGCTTGGAAAGTCACGTGTCCCGTGTGCACGACCACCAGCCAAGTGAGAGCATCTAGCCGTGCAGCCACCTCCACCTGCCAGGTGTGCGTGGTGTGAGAATCCCAGGATGCCGAGTGCTCAAGCTGACCAGTAAACAAGTGCGTGATAAAACCAGATTGCCCCGGGCTGCTGCAGGGACCTGGGGTGCACGATGGGACGGGGGCGCTCGTGTGGACCCCAGTCCGGTGGCGACGTGTGTGCTGGGGCCAAGGGACCCTGGGTGCTCACCCTACAGTCCTCGGAAGCCCACGCCTCCCGAGGCTGCAGATAACCACGGGCAGCAGCGTCCACCTGCCTCCGTGGGCCAGCCTGGATCCTGGTAGGACTCTGGTCAAGAGGGCCACTGGCGCTGTGGGCTGTGGAACAGGCAGTTGTGAGGCGGACGCAGGAGACACGATCTCTAAGCTCAGCGCAGAGGTCCCTGGAGGCTCGGAGCAGAGCTGTGTCCTCAGGCAGGAGACACGGAGCCTGCCCATCATCTTCGTGGCTGCTCCCACCCTGCGCTGGCCCTCAGCCCACTCCCTTTCCAGTCCCAGTGCTGCTCCCTTGGCCCTTGGGGACACCTCCTTTACCTGGCTGCGAACCTGCCCTCACTTGTCCTGCTCCAGAGCAAATGTCCATGTGTCCCCAGTGTCACAGGCATCTGTCATGAGCACCAGGACTCAGGCACCCTGGGCTGTCCTCCCTGGAGCCGAGGCCGCAAGGCTGCCCCCAGTCCAGCCGTCCTCCGCAGCGTCTTGGGGAAAGGAATGGCCACAAGTCTTGGTCCGGACTCGGGATGGACACGAGAGGTCACTAGAAATCAAGCCCAGGTGACACCCTGGTGCCTACAGCTCCCCAGGAATGCAGAGGACCTGGCAAGGGTGACCAGAGTTCAGCCCCCCAGTCTGTGGGGAGGGGAGGAAGCAGAGCCCTGCCTGCGGTGTGGACTCACTGCCCAGTCTCCCACAGCGCTGGCTCCCGCCTTCCCTCAGATCGAGGTCGGCATGAGGCTCGTAGGGACAGATCCCAGCATGAAGGGCGATTGACGGCACGTCCCTGGGACATCTGCAGGCGTCCCCGTGTCCGTTCCATTCAAGGTCCTCCGTGGCTCACCGCCAACCCAGCGCCCTCCACGTGGGCCAGGTGCAGAGTTGCTCCGTGGACACTGCTGTAACTGCCCTCCGGCAGCAAGAACCATGCTCAGCGGGGGGCACCCCAAAGGTTCCCATGTGGAAGAAGCATTTCTCTGGGACATTCCCAGGACTCCAGGGAAGCCGCTGACTGCTGGTGGGGTCCCTCCCAGGCTGGGCGGGCTCAGGATTGCCCCTCCTGGGTGGGCGGGGCCAGAGGTGTGCCAGCAGCGGTGCAAGGTGAGCAAGGTGGATGTGGTGGCCTTTGGAGTGGCTGAGAAGCGGCGAAGGCCCCTGGGGGGTTCAGCGCCTTCACAGGGCTCTGGGAGGAGGTGGGAGGCAGACGGGGCCCACCTGCAGCACCCCTGCCTCCCGTGGACTTCCTGGCCGGCCCCGACCCCACCCGCCCTCGGGCGTTGCCTTTCTGCTCACCCAGGGGCCTCCTGGCCGCCTCCTCACTAGCCTGGGCGCCTCCTCGGGGCTCAGGACTGGGGAACCTTGTTAGCTGGGAGGTTCCCTTCTATGCACGCTTCATTGGGAACTTGACGGGTGAGCTGCTCTCACAGCTACAAAAGGACAAGAAACACTTTCTGAACAAAGAAACGCAGTTATCACCTGGCTGGCTGCGGGGAAGCTGTGAACACACAGGTGGGGAGGGCTGGAGAGGCCTGGAGGCGGGACTGGCCGGAGCTCCACCCACGCACCCCAGGCCTGGGCCCCGACAGACCCGGGGGGAGAGCGCTCTTGTCCCACAAAGTTAGTTAGAACCGGAGTGTTGCAGACGCACGTAGCCCTTGGGTGAACGGGACGCGATGGGGGCCGCCGAAGCCGGGCGCCCAGTCCCCGCAGGCCGCCGCTCCGCCCTGTCGGCTTCTGCGCTTCATCAGCAGCATCTTTGGCAACCGACTTCCTTTGTTCTGAGCCACAGACGTGGACGAGCATCTGCTCGCTTGGCTGCTGCCATACATGTGGGTTATTTCGATTTTCCTGACATCCCACACGCACTCTACAGATCGCTGCACGGACTCTGGGCGCACGTACCAGAGTGCCCCCTCGGGATTTTGATGACCCAAGTTTCTGGGCTAGCACCCTATGGCACATCCTTAACTTGCCAAGAAACGCTACTTTTGTTGCTAAAAATAGATTGATAACTTTTTATTTTTTAAAGGTTTTATTTATTCATTCATAGAGACAAAGAGAGAGAGAGAGGCAGAGACACAGGCAGAGGGAGAAGCAGGCTCCACCCAGGGAGCCCGACGTGGGACTCGAC